TTTTTAAAAATTTTTGGTTATGTAGTTCACTTTTTTTTCACCCCGCGTATTTGAAATTTAAAAAATTTTAGTTTGTTGCGACTGCGTTTAGACTATGTTACTAGACCATGCTTTGACTATAGTTAGACTATGGTTTCGAGAATATCATATCCCACTGCAATAGCTTTACTTATATACAAAATTTTTAAATTTAAAATACACTAAATCCTCGAGATACCACATTTTTCGTGACTCGAATTGTCGTTTGAGGAAGAAAAAAAATGTATGAAAACAAAAAGGTGAATTAGACAAACTATTTTATAATAATAATTGACCTATTTTTAAAAGAAAACAAAAAAATATATTAACGAAACCAAAAAAATTCAATTTTTGTAACAAAAATAAATAAAATTAAATCTGATTAAGTTGATATATATCACTTCAATTCGTATTCTTAACTACTGACTAGAATTTTTGAATAGAAAGAGTTCATTATTGAAGTGTTTGCTTTTGTATTGTCTTACAACTAAATTCGGTATAGATTTTTATTCAAAAAACAGTAAACAGTAATGCCGTATCAGGAATAATGTTGCAAGCTGAATAGAAATGGTCCAAATTTATATCATTTCGTTACTAGAAATGTTGTATTAGAAGATGTCGTATCTCGAGGACTTAGTGTATGTGACTGTTTCCAGTTAAATGAAGTATTTTTTTTTTAAGTCAAATTTTTGTTTATCTTATAATCAAATCCTAAAATTTTCAGGCTCTCTTGTACTTATATATAACAAAAAAGTTTATGTTCCTGCTAATTTACAATATTTTTTTTTAAATTTTAAATACTTTGTAATTATATGACATATTAATCTTGAATCTAAATTAGGCTAAAGCACTTCTAAACGTCATGTTTAAAACAAAAAATACCCAATGCAGCAAATCAATTTTTTTTTTCATATATACACATATACTTGCACATATTCAAATTTTCTATTGAAAGTTGGAATAAAAATGGTAACCAAAACCATAAAATATAAAAATATTAAAATTTATGTCGCAATAAAATTAAATTCAACATCATTATTTGATAAAAATCATCAGGCTCATATTTATAATGTATACTTGAAAAATATTTTTATTGAAGTGGTTTCGTGTATATCATAATTAAAAACCAACAAAAATATTATATTGAAAAAGAAAAAAGAATTAAATTATGTTTAACAATAATGACAAACAAACAAACAAACAAAAATAGAATAGAAAAGAAAATTGAAATCTCATCACCTCAAATCCTGATTTTGAAAACCTACATTCTAATTTAAATTATAATTATAAAAGCATTTATTATGCTACACAGAGAAAAAAGAAAAAACAAAACAAATAAAACAAATTTCAGGAAATATAACAGGAAGATTTAAATTTCATTTTCTTACATAATGGTAAATTATACAAAAAAAACAACAATAGAAACCTTTCAAAAAATTAATTTGTGGGCAAAATGAGAAATTGAATAAAAAAAATCTCGTCATTCTAACACACATTTATTATCATTTTATATTATGGTAAAATATACCCAAGTATGCACCATTAACAGGATTTTTTAAATAAAAATTTTTTTACTAAAATTATAATTTAATATTCAACCATCCATCCATGTACAAATAAAGCAATGATTAAATGCCATATAATATATAACAAATAAACATATTATATAGAAAATTCTATAATCTGGAAGAAAAATCTATGATATTTTTTAAAAACTTAAATTTTTTTTTTCTCATTTTGTTATACTTGTATATACAAACACACATGTTATATACAATCTTATAATTTTTTTTTAGAACATCAAAATATTTTATAATAAATGGTATATGTGCAGTATAAAATAAATATGCACACAATTTCTACATAATGACATTAATACATAATACATTGTTTGTACGAGTAGGTACATACGTATATATGAAAATGTGAATGTATAGTAATATAACAGAGCCGCTTTATAAGGATATCATATTAATAGGAATATTGTAGATTTTCAATTATAAATATAATATACCTATCTCTTTCAAGTACAATAATGTGGCACAAATATTTGTTTAGTTCCTATACTACATACGAGTATATATATAAGTTTGCAAATTATAAAAGAATAAAGAGAAGGAAAATGAAATAAAAAACAAAAAAGAAATTGTAAAATAATAATTCATATTTATATTTGCATACAATGTTCACATTGACATATCCTTTTTAAAATTTTACAGTGAAATTTAATTGATATTTTACCTGAGTATCACGCGCGAGCATATAGTATACGCGCGGTAAGGTTCTTGATAACCAATTAGCCTGCGATCAATTTTTCATTCAATTAGATCTACGAGTATTTATAGATGGCAAATGTAATACATAAACCTAATATTACCTACCCTTGTTAGCAGTTTCTTCTTGACATTATTATAAAAAACTAAAGTGTGATCAATATAAAAAGCATTCCTTCAAATACAATTAAAAATTTTTAGTAAAAATTAATGCAAATTTGATTAATAAATCAAGATCCCATATATTATGGTTCTACTGTATCATTTATTTATCAAAAGGAAGTACTTACTACTCATACATTATAATACGTTTTTCAAATTCATACGTACGTATGTGCTTAAAAAAATTGTAAATTATTCCTGTTCAGGATATCATTTTTTCTTTTTATTTTATGGTTCTTCTTGTCGAACTGGTAAAATGTTAGTTCGTCTCTATTCTCCTTGAATTTTTTAAAATTATTTTTTTTCATATTTTGTTTTTTTATTTTTAATTTTTTTTTTCATTCTTTAAAATCGTAATTTACCCCTATCATATATACTATTCACCCCATATATCAATTTTTATTATTGTGTGTGTATCTGTATGTTCCAACATATGGACTTATATTTTACGTATATATGAGTATAATATTATAAGCATTTTATACATATATACATATTTTGATGAAATTGTGGCTTAACAGATTTTTAAGTGGTTTCTCTTATATTATGTTTTACCTCTTGAAATTTACAATTCTCATAATGATGTGAATGATACTATACTATAGTAGTAGTATTTAGTATTTTAGAGAGAGAGAGAGAAAAAAAACAGAAATTATTAATGTTGAAATAGATTTTCATTTTGAGATTTTACTCAGAGGAAACCACAAAATAGAAAAGCAAAAAATAATATGTATATAGTACTCGTATGTTCTAATTTTATTTTTTTCTTCTTATACATAGTTTGAGTAGAACAATATTATGATTAAACGGACTATACAAGAAATTGACAGAGGAAACCAATTTAAAATTTTATTTGGATTAAACAGAGAAACAAATAAACTGTAGATGCTAAATCAAAATTACAACGTAAAATTTTTCTGAAATTCAAATTTCAAAATTGGCTGAAAAATCGCAAAAATAAACAGATTATTTACATTCCAATCTTAACTTGATCAGAAGAAGAGGTTTTATAAATTAGTTCATTGCCCTATCAAATTTAAAATTTAAAAAACCATGTGATTGTCTTTGAATCTCAAGGAAATACATATACAGATATGTGCAATCGTGTGAATTAAGTGCATTAAGTATAATAAGAATCTAAATATGTCGACATAGAGAAATATAAATCGATGGACGCATTAGCGAATGGACAAATAAGTAAATTTTTTTTTTGAATCGGATTCCTTTATTCATATTTCAGAGTTGTATCACATATTGTTCGTGGTGAATTAAAGAATAGAATGGAAAACCTGCGATTAAGGTACTGAATAGGTCTCGTATAAAAGCCAATAGAACTTCTTGAAGATTACCATTGGAAGCGGATAAAGATTAAAGGAAAATGAAAGAATCGGATTCCCACGGATGTCTTCTAAAAATACTGCAAAATTAAAGATTCCCAAATAGCTGGGCGTAGAAACTTAAAAGCATATGTCGATTTTAATGCGAGGTATAGGAGATCTCATTATCCCTTCTAGAAAATACTAAGACTTTTAGTATTTTCCTTTTCAAAAGAAAAGGAAAATGATAAGGAGTTTCACACTATTGGTTGCACAATGACATTCTTCTAAAACCTAACCTCAAGATCGACTTTATTAATACAGTGAAATTTTTAGGGTGAATCCATATGCATAATAGATTCATATATAAGGATCATATTAAGATATGTGATATTGATTTATTATACAAATTATTGATTGTATTCTGCAGCAATTTATCGAAGAGACGATAAGTTATAATGAATAACATACATTCTCTACATTACAAGTGCTTCTGTTTCATTGTAGCATTATTCCGCCTATTCTATTGTTAGTTAGTTGCGATAGTTTTATTAAAGTAAAGATTATAGATGATGCAACCGCAATGGGAAGCCGAATTCACTGATATTAAGAGTTATGATTAATGTTAACCATATATGGAATAATTTTGCATAATAGGTAACCGACAGGAAGGAACTATAAATTTAGTAGTATCTTGTAACTCCACTGTACTCATGTTCAAACTTTATGTTTTTACTCCTTCAAAAAATTAGTTTTTTTGCATTCCTTGTTTTTTTTTTTAATTTCTGACTTTTCTTAAGTGTCATCTTTAGAATTGAAAAAAAGGGGAAAAACTTATTTCGTTCTAATTTTTATTTTTTATTACACGGTTAACGATATGTTCTCAGCTCCCATAATATAGCAATCTTGTTTATACGGTTGTGCCATCATTAAAATATTTCTTTGGGGCAAGTATTATGGTAGCTAACGTGTAATACACTTTATATATCAATCTTTTTCGTATATTGTGCATACTCACAAGCACATGTGCACATATATATGTGCATACCAATATGTAGGACGTTATATCAAATATTATTTTTGTTTGTGGTCCTTGCGAAAATCTTATGTAGTCATTTTTGAAATGTTTTTCTCTTTTTGTTTTAGATTTTTTTTTGTTTATTCTTATTTTTGCTTGTTTTCTTTTTAATTTTTTTTTCTTTTTTTTTTTTGTAAAATCTATTATCGTTAGCACCAAAATCTCATTCCATTTGTGGCATATTTATCTTCAAATGATGATAATGACGATACAGTCCCATAGAGAAGAGACTAAAACACATCACCTTTTTGCTTTTTTGAAAGCCCACATTGCTTTCAAAATATATAGACATACAGGACTTTATGTTTGTTCATTTGTAAACACATTGATATACATATGTACATAAATATATTTATATATACATACATGCAATACACCATGCACATATTTGTAAGCACACATATTCGTATGTATGCACGTAAAAATATACGCTCCCATTAAATGCTTAAGGCTGTACATTTATTCTACGTGTACGTAGCGTGTTGCTGAAGCCGCCTCCTGTTTCCTATGATAATACTACTTGAAAAACAATAAACTGAAAAATTAAAACAAAAACAAAATAAAGAGAAAAATTCTTATCTTTTGGAACTCTTAGTTTCATTTTCTTTATGTTTTTTTTTTTCAAAAAAAAAATAATTTTTGTCAGGTTTCCATAGTCATGTTTTATGGGAATTTTCTGCAAAAACACAAAAAAAAAGGAATCTTCGTAGACCTACATTATATTGTAGAAGAGTGACAGATAAGTTCGAAGGTGATGTGTGTTTACGTTTTTGTTTTTACTTCATTATATGAAAATGCTTATGTGTATATGTAAAAATCCAGTTGTAAGAGAACTACCGTAAATAATAACGATGTGTTACGACTTATTCATAAGTGATTTAGTTGTTTTTTTTTCTTTTTGTTTATTAAAATGTAAATGAAAATTTTGAAAAAAAGAAAAAAAATTCATTTATAATATTTTTCATCAGAAATCATAAAATAAGAATGAGAATATTTAAGACCGAGAATATTAATATTAAAGTTCTGTAAATAGATTCCGATCGAAATCAGAAGCGCTTTTTGTATTTTCGGAACTGGTCATGACATTATTACAAACTTAAGAGTGTTCACCTAAGCGCAAACTGATTTTCAATTTATTTTGTTCGGCAATTAATGTAATATGAAGATCCAACTCTGCATGGGTCAAGTTCAGAATTCCATTTTATCTTACGAAAATACGTTCAGCAATGGAATCTTTTAACCAAGTGAGAGTTATAAGTTTTCTAAAGCAATATTCGAATATTAATACGGATATATAAATATTTAGGTAAAAAAATAGTGATAAGGAATAATATTTGTTTCTTCCCTATAATAATTCTCGTACATTAGAGAAAACTCTCTCCGATTTGGTATAAAAGTACGATTATGTAATATCAATCATTTTGTGATTAAAAATCATTGTAAACCAACTGAAAGCAAACATACAATTTAAACATTAAAATTAATTCGGACATTATTTTATTAAAAGTTTGATACATTTTGGCTGCAGGCTTATAAGTCGATAAACTTGAAAGTTTTTTTTTTTGTAATATAACCTGAAGTTATGTCAAATATTCTGGATAATATAGCAATAAAACTGTCATGTTTATTACATAAAATTCATGTTGCACTAGTGAACGAATAGAATAACGAAATATATTTAGGAAAATTCTTTTTAAAGTATTTATTAAATTGAAATTTTAACGAACAACTCTCGTACATTTTATTTATCAATATTAATTTTTATACATCAAAAGGCAGTGTTCCTTTGCTTTCGGTTTTTTTTTTCATATATAATTTTTCTTGTCATTTGCACTACAAAGAGCACAACTTTAAAAATAAAAAATTTAAAAGTGTATAGAGATCCTTCCTCTCATAAATCACAATTCGATTCGATTTGGATTATTTTTTTTAAGTTTGTATATGTGTACCTTTTTTCATGCAATTATTTGATGTATGCGTGTATGTATGAAAAACTTGCTATGATAAGCAAAACAGAAAAAAATTAATAAACATAAAAGTAGGAATAAAAGCAGGAAAAAAAAACTCTTAAAATCTTTGTAAAAATTACAAATCATTAAAAAACAGAAAACAAACCAGATACCCTGCAGCAGCAACAGTATCGTATATTCATTGTAGAAAAAACATATGTAAGATATTTGAATCGAAATACACTCCAGTCTAACGAACCTCTAACAAATGAGACACAGTAAGAAAATTCCGAATTTCCTATGGATTTTTTCTTTTTTCTTTTATTTTCTATTTAAAAAATGTCGTCTCACTTTTTGTCAATGTAAATTTTTTTTACATTTAAAGGTTTGCTAACCATATACACACACATTTTAATATGTAAATTTACGTACAAGAGTACAAGAGTAAAATAACAGCAGAAAGAAAAAACTACAAAAATTGGAAAAGGCAATATGGCATATGCACATCATGTCATACAAAATGCACCACAATTCTATCGTGGATTTAAATGAAAAAAAAAAATTAAAACAATCATAAAATAAAAAAAAAAAATTATAAAAAATAAAATTATTAAAAAAATTGTTTTCTCCATGTGATTCTTTTTTTACAATTTTATTTTCATCCAAAAGGATAACAACAAAAGCGAAATTATTTACACATGACGGAACCAAGCACTTGACAGCAAATATTAAAAAGCAAACATACACATCAGTGAAAACGAAACGGTAAAAAAAAATGAAACGGCCATAAAACAAAAGAAAATTTAAAAAAAAAAAAACTGAAAACAACTTAAATGAGACTAAAAGGGATTCTTTGCAAAAAGGAAGGAACCAAAATGCAAAATGAAAAAAAAAAAATTTAAGAATCGCAATATTTTCTCCTTCTCTTATAAATCTCTAAAAACTCAATATTTCTTCATTTTCATCTCATTCTCATTAACGATTACCACCAACCAACCCACCCTCTATATCACCGTTTTTTTTTTTTCCGTATCTTTCTCTTCCTTACTCTCTCTTTCTCTTTCTCATTTTTGATTATTTCAGAACAGATTTAGTTTTTTTTTTTCATATAATTAAGGTACATATGTATGTATATTTATTCATATATGTAGGTACATACTTTTTAAATTTTCTATTATTTTTTGTTGTTTTTGCTTTAGGGTCTGTGACTCCTGTTGTTTATAGTTCTCATATGACTTTCGTCATTATTATATTTATACACAATATAAAACATGTGATATTTTATTAGAAACCCCTTACCAAAAAGCAGCAGTATCATGACATAAAGAATAGAATATTGCATATGATTAGAATATTATTCATGAGCTCATTTACAAGATGTTCCATATAACAACGAGGTATTTGAATTTAGATCGATTACCGGAAAAAATTTGCCGGGTAAATTTTTCCATATTCGAACAACACATTGTTCTGAACCTAAACGAGTCACATATTAATGAATTTTTGAATTTTTTTTTGACGCCCTTTACCTAGTATTCCGTGAAGTCAAGAATATTAGCAAGAATTAAAAACACGCCTTTATTAACTATTTTTTATTACTTTTTATGTATCCCGGTCAATTTCTTCAAATATCTTGACAATTTTATATAGAAATAATTAAAAGTACATAACCACAGAATTTGATAAAAACAAATTTACTGAACAGTTGGGTTCTATATAAAAGATGTTCCTCATTAACTTAAATAATTATCTACAGAAATGTTGTAAATTTTACCCACTAGTTATTTGGCCTACTAGTTATTTCAAGAGTTATTAGTATTTTTTCTCATTTTTCCAGGGCAATTATTTTAATTGACTCTTCAATATTGAGTAGATTATAAGTTATAGAATTACTAATGTCGAGAAAATTAAAATAATGTTTCTTATTATAAATTAGAATATTTCTAATCGGAACAGTTAAAACTCTGCCAAAGGAATAGGACAAGACAAAATTATTTTAAGAAATATAAAAGCCTATTCACTCTTATTACATTTTCCAATTATTTACAATTTTTGCAAGCTGCATTAATGAAACAACCTGTACGCAATCATAGCAAGTGTATATGTAAGTATATCTAATTACTAACATAACCATATATACATACAAAATGAGTACGAAGAACATTAAAATTATGCACTGATGCATTTTTCATTTGTTCACTCATCATCATACTCATTCTAATACATTTAATATGAACAATACGTCATATCGTATATAGAAATTCTAAAAAAATATAAATCGTGTTTCCTCTTCCTTAAAAAGAAATTACATTGGAAAATGTTTTATGCAAGGAATCCTTGCAGCGCTTATATAATACTCCCTTCAGCTGTACTATAATGAGATGTGATGACATTAAAAATAATTTTTTCAAGTTCTAACATAAAGCTACCTTTAATAATAATAAAAACAAGAAATCATTTAAATTTACTCAAAATTGGAGTTGTAAAAAAATTTTTTTTTTTTCATATTTATTTCATATTTTTCTAAAAAATATTTATTCACTTGATTTTAAAAAATTGTTTTATAATTCAAGAGTCAAATATAAATATTTAATGATGTCAATTCAGGTATATTCAAAAGGACATCCTGAATACACCATGTTATCATTTTTTAATAGTGCCAGACATTAAACACATACTTGCACTATTAAAATATGTGCTGTTGATTCCAGACTTGGCTTTCTTATACTTGTATAAGAACAACAAACTTTTATAGTAAAAACAAACACTAAGCGAACTGTAAACGGAAATAAATTTTGCCTTACTTGAATAAGAAACATATTTTTTTTTTCAAATTTGTCACCAAGTACTTTAGTTTTTATATGTACCAAATTAAAATGTAATATTTCAAAAGATGATCAACTTGAAATATTTATGGTTCAGTAAAAGTAAAAATAAAACTCTTTAAATTTTCATATTTAAGTATTGAAATGTATGTGAAGCTTCTGTTGCCTTCTATGTAATACATACTAAAATTTATGGTAAAAAATTGTGAAAGAAAATTTACAAGGAAGGCACAATATTTTACGGTTTAAATACTTTAAGTTCTCATAGAGATGCATAAATAAAATTTTTCCTCATATTTTAGGCTAGGATATAGATTTTGTGAAGTTATGTCTTTTAAAATAAAGACGGGCAGAGTAAAAAGCTTTGCTCTATAGGAAATGCGATAAATTTTTGACAATGCGAGTCATACGACCCCGTCTTGGCAAAATTGGGATATTAATAACTTTT